ATGGTATCCATCTTTGTACTCTCTTCTGTTCAAGGAGTCCCATCTGATGAATTTTCAAAAAGGTTTCCAACCCTAACTTCTTTTATCTTTAACTCTAAATATGGGTCTTGCATGAAAACATTTCTAATGATTCAAAAATGATGTTTCTAATGTTAGTTGATGATTTAATTCTAAAACTTCAATGAAAACATGTTAAAGCTTTTGATAAAATTATTGCTTAAGGAATGGGTTAAATGAGCATGAATAGATAGTCTTTGAGATTTGATTTTTTATGGTTGACATTGTTTTTTAGCTACTTCCTATGGTCTATAATATGATGAAATGTTCAGAAAAAGGTTATAGGTGATGGAAGCTTGGATTAAAGGGTAAGTTGGTTATGTTGTGTAGCATAAATTATGGTATGCTCTTGAGTGGTATGATCCACCTTCTTGGTGGAGGTGTTTACATGAATTGTATGCATATGTAGCTACTTGTGTATGGTGAAAAAGGACATAAAGGCATATTATGTGAAGAAATATGGAGATGAAGATACTCTTGTTAATTTGTTTTATGAAGATTGTTATGAAAAGTATGTTAAGTATTATGTCTAAATGACATGTATGATTATATGAAGCATGTTAAAGTGTATGATATAAAGAAAGAAGGTCTAATCATGTACAGAGGTTAAATGTGAATGAAATGATACTTATCTGCAAGGTTTGTTCATATGTACACACACCTGCTCACACTTGAATTAATGAAGGAAGCCAAGTTAAGTCAAAAAGAGAAGTTTTTGGGTGAACACTCTTCGTGAGTTGATATGAAGTGTTTAGAAGCAACCTCACTATTCACAAGAGTTTTATAATGTAGGTTGTAGGATGGATACCCTTCGTGAGTTGAGATGTGGTGTCCAGAAAGTTATCCTTGACCTTTAGTAATGAATGTTGAGAATCCGTTGGGAGTTTTGCCTAGCAACTAGAGGATATGAAGAAGGGGTGGTTACTCTTCATGAGTTGAGAAGTTGTATTACAATGTACCTTTTAAGATAGTAATCCTGGTTAGAACAGAACGAGTTACTTAATAACAACTCATTATCCCTTAACTATGCGCCTGTATAGGTGTAGCTATTGGGAAAGCCATGTAAAAGCTAAAAAGTAAGACCTCAACCTAGGCAAGTGAAGGGACCCTGCTCCGATTAGGGAAGTATCGGGATTCCATAGTTAGCTCTCATGGTCTATGGCAGTTAAGATACCCCCCATAAAAGTAATGAACGTTTTAAGTGTTCTAAAAGAGTGTATTACTTAGGGTAGGTAGTGGAACGGGACGTTATATATCCATTTCACTAGGTAGGCATTCCGAAATGGGAGTCTTGGTGAGCCTTATATGAATTGAATGAACTAAGTATCCTAAAAGAACGTACATCTTAGGGTAGGTAGTGGAATGATATGTTATCTATTGCATTAAGTAGACATTCTGAAAGGGGATCCTTGGTGCTAAGCCTTTTAAAAGAGTGTACTACTTAGGGTAGGGGGTGGAATGGGAATCCATCTACTCATTTCACTAAGTAGGCATTTCGAAAGGGAAGTCTTTATGTGTTGCTTGAGTGTTCTTCTAATGTCTTGTCAATCAATGGGGAGTTGTTCTCCCTAGGTGAGTAAGCCAAAAAGGGGTGGTCTTGAGGATCTCTTTGGTGTGTATTGAAGGAGGTATATGTGCATTTACTTCATGTCTTACCTTGGTGAGTCTTAAGATAACCTTAGTTAGGGAAACTCCTATGGAAATGAGTTCACTTCCTCGTTGCTTGTCCTTGGGAGTCCACTATTTTTTTTAATAGGGATACATAACTGTAAAGTCAAAAAAAAGTTCACTGTGATTTGGGAATCTTACTGTATAATGTTCATTTTGCTTAAAATTATGGAAACCCTTCTCTATGTTTTAAATGGAGATTCTTATGTTTTTTTACTTCTATTTTCTTGAGTGTTTTACTCAATTGTCATGAAAAATGTGTTTTACTAAAATGTCTCTTTTTGTATGTTTTGCATACGCCATACTTAGTACATTGTTTTATACTAACCCCGTACTTTTCTATACTCTATAAGTATATGTTTGAAAGCAAAGTTGATGTTTAGAAGGCAAGCATGGGATTTGATCCTCTCAATAAAAAGTATTTCCTCACATGTTTAAGGGCATAGTTCCTAATTCTTTAAGTTTTGTATAAGTTCTTATTATGTACTTCTTTTAAATGTAAAAACAGGTGTCCTTAAGATATTATATCATATCTTTAAGTTGTCTTGTGACAATGACATTTTCTTTGTATTAATAAAAGATTCCTTCTTGTATTAAATGTCGTGAAAAGTTTAAATTCCACACTACTCTTCATGTCTTATGTAATGAAAGATAGTGTAACACTTCGAAAATTCAAGACGTGTTCTAGAGCAAAAAATAAGTGTCCTAATGTTTAGACACTATTTTAAAGTCCATCTCAATGATTATAAGTCATTAGTAAGTCTAGAAACAAAAATGTCTAATAACGTTCATGATGTCCGGAAACTAGTTCAAGGAGGTACTAGTGTTCATTAGTCTATTTGACTATCATTTCGAAGTCAAAAAATGATGAAAATTTGTGTAAGGGTGTCGAAAATGTTTAAGTTGATTCATGGTAAAAACATCCGGATGTGACTCCCCAAGGACAAATCAATGGCCATTGGTGAATCGTAGGGGCATCGATGCCACCATATATGGTCACTTAGACAAAATCACTCAGGGGTAACTTTGAATAGTCTCCGACCAAAACGATGGATATACAGCACGGAAGGGCACAATGGTCGTTGATTGACCCATGCTCCATCGATCGTGGTGTCGTCTGTGGTCATTGTAATTTTCTCCACGTTTTTAAATAGTTCAAATTAATTAAGGGGTTCAGTCTTTAGTAATGGGATTATGGAATCCTAATTAATTAAATTAACACCCCGTATAAAGACCCCAACCCCATTAGACTAATCACAACTAAAAAATTAAACTTTGTTCATTCTCTCTTCTTTCTCTCGCTAGTGAAAAACACCATTGAAGACCAAGATAGGGGAGGACTTAAAGGGATGCAAATAGTAAATTTTCACCATCAATATTCATCAATTAGTAATTTATGGGATATAATTAACCTTTGAGACCTCTTTCCTCAAAGGGTACCATCAAATTGATTTCCAAAATATGCGTTTCAAGTGGGTGTCATCCAATCTCGAAATTGATATTATGAATTGATTTGTTTGTGATTTCTTTTGAATATTATAAATATATTAACATTTATTATAACTTAATTATGATATATCTTGATAGTTTGGTCTAGTTTGTAGAAGATGACTTTTTCCACTTAACCCTAGGTTATGATCTTGATATGAATTATATTGTATTGGTTCTATTGACTTTTTTATTGGTTTAATTACTACTAGATGATGTTTTTATACTAATCATGAATGAATTATGGTGATTTATAGTCCTTTCACACGAGTTCTTGACAAGTGATCTAGGTTATGAAGTATGTTGTGAATTGACCTAAGTATCTTGTCTAAAGCTTTGATCTAGTATTGAATTGTGATGTAGTGATTCTTTTAGACTTTATATCGTGTTGTTCTTTGAATTATGATGATATTGTACCCTAATTAGGTTGAAATAGGGGTTGATGGTAAGAACTTGATGATGGATTATGATGTAGACATGGAAGGTTTGTGATCCCAATCATTTACTTCAAATTTTTGTTTATTGTGATTAAGTTCGTGATGTTGTATTGGATTATGACTTTTATTAGGATTAATAGGATGGTATGATGTTGAATTGAAATATCTTGACTATGATTGTGAGGTTTTAACTTAAGATGTAAATGTTATAGGGATGGTGAATGATTTATAAATGTGCCTTATCATGACATGTGAATGTTAATGTGCTAACCTCACCTATATGAATTTTAATTAACGGACAATACTCAAGCAATTCATATTGAGCTATGATGATGGTGATATTATACAAGTGTTAGACCCTATGACCTACATTAAGTTATGATGATTAATAAAGGAATTAAAGACATTTCAAAAAGGGACTCTACACTACACCATTTTAGGCCTATGCCAAACCACTATAGTGTAGCCTAAATAGCAAAATGTGTGGCCTTTGATGAAAGGATACACATTTGGACATTAAGCAATACTTTTTAGGGGGTGGCCTAAAGAAGCGTAACCTTTGACATTAGGAAATAATTTTTAAATGCCGCCTTCTTTGGCTACACTTATAAAGCGTAGCCAAATAGATATAAGGGCACACTTTGCTTTGATGAATTAGTCACACATTATTTATTATACTAAACTTAAAACGTGCCTTTACACTGTTATTGGTGACAATTTATAAGTGTTTTCTTGTACACGGATGAAGTGTAACATTATATCACATATAAAGCAACACTTATAAAGTGTATCTTTATATCTTGATCTAAAGTAACACTTATTGTAACTTTAACATTGGGCGTCCTACAACAACACTTTTGAATTGCATATATCCAATGTATAATCACATAATTAAATATATAAGTGACCTAAAGCACAAAATTAACTAATAATTAAATCGAAGCTATATATTTTTAATCTACTTCGACAAACATGTCTTGTACAACCAATACTTAGAAAGTGATTTCTTAAATATCTCTAATATCACTAAGTTCCAAAAAACCAAGTGCATTCAAATGTATATGACAGTAGTGCAAAATAGAACACCATTGTAGGTATTATTCAGGATCTTATACAGAAGCACAAATAAAATGGGAAATAAATAGAAAAGAATTATTCGCATTATATAAATATTAATTAGCATTTGAACCATATATTGTTTACAATAAATTTATTGTAAGAACAGATAATACACAAGTAAAATGGTGGATAACGAAAAAATTAGATGATTGAGTTACAACAAAAGAAATAAGGAGACTAGTATTAAACATACTAAATTTTACATTTACAATTGAGGTAATAAAAACTAACAAAAATATGATTGCAGACTATTTATCAAGACAGAGTTACACAGCTAGGACAAGATAATGTTATGGAAAACATACTCAAAACCCTAACTACACTTTGTACAAAAGTGGACAGTATGGGCTTGAGAATTCAAAAGCTAGAAGAAAAGGAAGAATCTACAAGTCAGCAGCATGACTATAAAAATGCGGAGCTACGTCGTTCGGCAGACGAAAAACAGCCAGAGCTAAAAGGAGACGTTGGGAAACTCCTTAAAACCCATGACATTACTGATGCTGCAGGTACAAGCAAAAAAGCTATGGAGAAACCTACACCAAAAAACATAAACCTAAATAGCATATTTACCAAACCATTTACTCCAAAGATACAGATAGTAGATGCTTCAACACCACAAACATCTACCTATGCAACTAGCCTGCATAAAGAGAAGAAAACATACAACCATATATCCCGAACATATATTGAAAACCTATACAAAATACAAAACTTTTTAAATCAAAAACCCAAATCTACCACAACATTAGAAAAAACCCAAGACTACCTAACCCAAAAACTACAAGGCTATAATAAGTTAATTGCACAACCAAAAACTAATCCAAACCTAGTTAAAACTTGTTATAACTATGGATTATTAAATACAGTCTATACATATACAGGTGAAGAGATAAGTGGAATCCCAGAGGTCCACAAAGTATTTTTAATATATAAAAAGATAACAAAAGGAAACTTATTTTTCATAAGATTCTACACAGCACCAGCAGAGATACTCTATGATGAAATAAAGTCAATGATCCACATAGTCAAAATTGGGCTAACACGAGAAATGATAATCCCAGAAGATATAGGCCAACAGCCAGAGATAACAAGAGTTGAGATACCCAGTTTCTATGCCAATAAAAGGATAATTGGATTATCAACTATTATACAAGAGCTAGCAAATAACTATCTACAAGGCAACGCCATATGGAGCTACTATTCGAGAGACCACTTAATGATATATGCCAATTCGAAAGAAATAAGACAAGCAGATATGGAAGAAGTCCAAAAATGGATTTTGACCCTGTTAAAACCAGAAGCTACGCCAACAACTAGAGCAATAAAGCAAGGATTCATATCCGAAGAACTAATGATGAGATATTGCAAGCTAGTCGGACACAATTACCAGACCATATATGTCCAAGTGCAACCAAGGTGATGACATAATTCCAGAAGTACAACTGGAGTAAGCTGAGAAAAAGAAAATAGGGAAAAGATAGACATAAAATATATGTAAATTAGTCATAATTATTGTCGGCCACATGTAAAAAGTAAAGGCCATTAAATAAAGAAGAAAAAAGTATGTCGGCCATTTGGCCAAAGTCAATTTTGTTTTTTGTAAAAAAGTTGTAAAGTAAATAGTGTCAGTATCCTATTCATGAATAGTAACCATGAATAGTAAGAGTCAAGTTACTGTGTAAATAGTAAGAGTCAAGTAACTTGTAAATAGTAAAGGTCAATCGTCCTTTAACAAGGATGAAAGGTCATTATGTATGTCTATATAAGGGGCATTTGCCTTCATAAATAAAATATCCTTCTTCCAACAATCTTCTCTCTACTCTAAAATAACAAAACCGCTTCCACCCCTAGTTTGCTACAGAAATATTCTTCGAATAAGTATGCCCAGACTATGCCATCCTAAGGTTGAAACCGGTAGGCAGAGAAGGCCGTTTAGGGGAGTAAACAAAGTTGAGGCGCTATTAGGGTAACTAATCAAAGAAGAAAGTTGTAGTAGTGACCAGACGAGATGATTATTAAATTATTATTTTTGCATAATAAGCAAGTATAATTTATTAAGAGGTTGGAAGGAATAAAGTTTTAGTGAAAAATGAAAATAATAAAAATGGAAACATACCTATTAGACGATAATGTTGATTATAAGATATTACTACTCTATATACTAAAAAATTTGAATACTGATATAAAAAGAGAAATTTATAATAAATTATTAACATATGAGATAATAGAAATAACAACCCAAGGTTGGACTGAGTTAACCATACAAAGTATACAAGATGAGCTTTATTATGATATGTATGATTTATATGATGATTTAGATATTGCAGATTAAATATGACTGAATATTGGCTAAGGCGATATGGTAGGAATTACAGGTTAAAAAAGATTAGATATCAAGATAAATTAAGTAAGCTTTTTAAAATATTATATAAAAAGTTATGATGAATAAAAATAAAAATACTAAAATAAAAAGAACCAAGATTGATAAAAAGGTAAGAAAAATATGGAAAAAATTAAGATGTTTATATATAGAATATGAACTATCACAACTAGTCAAAACAGATAATGATAGAAAAGATCAATTGATAAACATAATTTCAAAAATAGAATATAAATATGTCTGCTATTTGAAAAAACAGTATGAACAGAGAAATCTATAAACAACAATTAATAAAAGAAATAATGGAAATAATGGTTGAAAAAGAACAAGAATTACAACATAGAAAAAGAAGATTAGAAGAAAACATATTAGCAGGAGTATGTAATAAATCACTACTAGCACAAAGAAAAGATATATCCATGTTAAAATTAGAATTGGATTGTCTTGAATATGAGTTACAGCATAATATAATGCATAGATTATAATGAATAAAGAAGAATTTGCAGTAGACGAAAAAACATACGAAAATCAAGACGGAATGATAATAAAAATAATATTTTCAAATCTAGGAAGAAGATATAAAAAAATAGAAAATAATTTATACTTAATGTTAGAAAAAGAAACGGCAAAATTAGAAGATAGTTTAACAGCTATGGTAAGAATAACAAAAGAAAATGAAGAAATAGATAAATCAAGAGAAATTGAAAAAATAAAAACACAAGCAAAACAAGAAGTACAAAATTTAGAAGAAATAAAAAATACAAGAATAAGTGAATTAGAAAAAGAATTAGCTAGGTTAAAATTATTATATGAAAATAAACAAAAACAAGAGGATAAAGAGCTAGAATTAACAAATGAAATAAAACAAATGGAACAGAAACTAAATGAAGATCTAAAAGATCTAAATGAATATATTGAAGTAAATGAAATAGACGGAAACGAAAATGACGGAAATGAAAATGACCAACAATCGGAAATAAGTGATATAAGTGAAACATATACAGAAATTCTAGAACAGATAAATAAACCAAAAAAATTAGAAATAAACACAGGAGATATGAATAGACCTAGTACGTCAAGAGTAAAAACCCCAGATAATAGTCCCAGAAATAGCCCTAGAAATAGTCCTAGGTGGACACCACCAACTTATTATACAGAAAGTTATCAACAATCAGATAGAAATAATGCAATATGGAACAGTAGATTAAATAAGAATTGGATACCGAAACCAATAAGTGAACAATATAATTTCTTAGAATTAGATTGCGTCACAGACATAAATAAAGCAATATTACTATGGACAGGAAATATATCCAAGCAGTTAATAGATAATAAAATAGAAACAACAAAAACACCAAGATATATAGAAAGAACATTCGTAGGAACGGCAAAATTATGGATAGAAAATCTACCCCCAGAAAGTTTAGAAGTACTTAGAAATGATAAGAAAATGGATGGATCCCCATCAGCAACAAATATAGATATACTAGATAAATATGAATCAGCAATAAGAAATGAATTTGGAGGCATGACTACAGATATAAGAGAACAAAATAGAGAAAAAAAAATAAATAAACAACTTATGACAAAATTAGCTATATGTAAAATGTGTTACTTAGAAGAATATACTTGCGCATTTAAAGAATATTATTACAAAGCTAAATACAATTTAGACGAAGCAAAAGAAATAAGAAAACAATATTATACAAAATTACCAGAACCATTTAGTACAAACGTAATAAAGGATTGGGATAATGAAGAAATGGTAGATACTTTAGGATCTAGAATAAAATTTTTAAATCAATGGTTCATACAACTATGTGAAAACCAAAAAGAAAAATTAAAAATGGAAAAAGTATTAAATAAAAATTTATCATGTTGTAAAAATAAAATGGCACCACAATTTGGATGCACAACTAAAAAACAAAAATCTAAAAGATATAAAAATTATAGAAAAAATAAAACTATATATAAATATAAACAACCAAGACGAAGGTATTATGTAAAAAATCATAAAATAAAAAGACCATACAGACCAAAAAGAAAAATATCCCAATGTACTTGTTATGATTGTGGAAAGATAGGACACATAGCTAAAGATTGTAAATTACCCAAAAATCCAAAAAGAAAACAAGTAGCAGAATTAATTATAGACAATGAAAAATACATGCAAATATAGTACATAGATTATGAATTAAGTGAAAATGATAGTATATATGAAGTATCAGACATAGAAACTGAGAATGAAGAAGAAAATATTAACATAGATAATAACGAAACAGATGAAGAAATATAATGTCTGAAAATGAAATAAAAATAATATCTAAAGAAGAATATCAAGATGAAGAATCATCAGAACAGAAAATTATATTTGATAATACGATATTTGAACAAATAAAAGGAAAAGAATTAGATTTAAGTGTTGAAAAAGTACTAGAAATACCTATTTTAAGAAATTGGTTTAAAAGACAAAAAGAAGAATACTATGTAGTTAGTCAAAAAGAACATATCATAAATTGTAAATACACAAGAGGAAAAGCATATATACCTATAATAAATAAAAGAATGATAAACAAAGAAATACAAGATATAAAAACTAAAACACCAATAAAATATGTACATTTAGGAGGAACAGAAATATTAATAAAAGCCTGCTTTAGAGAAGGAATAGATACACCTATAGAAATATATTTAGCAGATGATAGAATTGTACACCCTATAGAAAAAGCATAATTAGTGCAGTAAAAGGAAACTTAATATATCAAAAATTTAAGTTTACAATAAGTGCTAATTATACAGTATCATTAACAGATAAAAATATAGATAGATCATTAGTTCTATATTGGAAAATGTCTGGAATAGAACTAGCATCAGGGAGCAAATTATTTACAGCAAGATGTAAAAATTTATATATATTAACAACAAAGCATAAAATAACAGCAAGAAATAAAATTAATAAAATAAAAATAGAAAATCCTTTTGAAAAAATAATTACTGTAGTAGACAATAATGACTATAGCTATAAAGAAATTGATATAGAAGAAGATTTAGAGATAGTAAAAGAAAGATTAAGCACTTCAAGCGTACCAAATACATTGACAAGAGCTACCTCATCAAGGTTGAGTACATCTAAAAGAAAATATGAAATTTCACAAAGCTTATTAGATAAAGAAGAAATAACACCATATCATTATTTCATAACAGGAATAATAGACCAAAGAAAATATAAAATATTAATAAATACAGGACAAGAAGAAAATTATATAACAAGAGAGTTAGTATTAGAAGAAGAAATTATAAGAACAGCACATACATGCCCTGGACTACCTAGTGAGATAGTGAACACGAATGAAGAAACAACAGAAAAAGAAATAATTATAGGAGGAATACCCTTAGTAATACAATTCAAAATATACCAAGGAGATCATAATATTACATTAGGAATAAAGTGGTTAGAAAAAGTTAAATCATACAACATAGAAAATGAACAATTAACAATAACTTGTCAAAATAAGAAAATAATTATAAAAAGAACAAAATGATTAATGAAAATATTTATACTTACAAAAATTATAGTAGAAGGATATTACAACAGATACTATACCCCTATGATAGATACAGGAGCAGAAGCGAATATATGTAAATATAATTGCTTATCAGAAGATAAATGGGAAAAATTAAAAACACCTATGGTGGTAACGGGATTTAACAATGAAGGAAGTATGATTAAATATAAAGCAAAAAATATAAAAATACAAATATGGGATAAGATACTAACAATAGAAGAAATGTATAATTTTGAATTTACTACAAAAGATATGTTATTAGGAATGCCATTTCTAGATAGATTTTATCCACATATAATAACAAAAACACATTGGTGGCTTACTACACCATGCGGAAATAAGATAGGAGCAAAAAGAGTAAATAATAAACAACGAAAACCAATGGAATGGATAAACGGAAGTGAAAAAATAAACCAAGAAATGGAAAATATAAATAATAAACAAATAACACAATTAGAAATTATTATATTTGCTATAGACAAAGTTAAATTAATTAATGAACAACTAGAACAATTATATAGTGAAGACCCATTACGAGGATGGGAAAAACATAAGACAAAAATAAAAATTGAGTTAATAGATGAAAATAGTATAATAACACAGAAACCATTAAAA